GTGTTTACTCATAATTACATATTTCTTGTTAGGTTACAAGAACGCGGGGTTTTAATCGTTCGTGTATCTTGCAGTTGGTAATCCGGTGTGCGGAGGGAGAGCTTAGATGTATCCATCTTGTGAGAGTTTGAGATAAACTTGCGGAAATGAGATGATGTTTTTTGAGACTAAACGCAAGAAAATTAAGGAAAAATGTAATAAAGGAGAGTGGTGATAAAATAACACTTAACATTCAGTAGATCGATCATATACAATTCAGAATAAATTAATGAATATTAATACTAAGCAGTTATTGAGATTTCCAAATCAGTCATCACAGATTCAAATGTTTTAACATTTTCTATTTTTTTACACGCATTAGAAAGGAAAAGAAGGAAAGAAAGAAAGAAAGAAAGACAAAAACGAAAATAATGTCGTAGTCATGTTAGAGAGAGAGTGAGAGAGAGAGAGAGAGAGAGAGAGAGAGAGAGAGAGAGAGAGAGAGAGAGAGAGAGAGAGAGAGAGAGAGAGAGAGAGAGAGAGAGAGAGATAAATAGTAATATTCTTTGTAATATCCTTTGTTAACATGTATTCGAATTCCATAAAATGTATGAAAAGAAAACGAGTAATGAAATCGGGTAATATTGTCCGTAGAGTTTCAACAGCTGTCAGAATGTGTCCATCTGTCTATTAAAATCAAAAGAACGGAAAGAAAGATATTGACTCAAGAATTATTGCACTATTGAGTTTTTTTTTTCTTTTTTCGAAAACTGAGGTATCATGTATCTTTTAGCATGTCTGATGAGGAAATATTTTCGAAAAAAAGTCCTTTTTATATTAGCTTTGGTGTTCCTCTGAGACTTTTAATGAATATTTTCCATTATTGTCCAATAAATTACTTGAACCAGAGAGATGCAATGAAAAAGAGAGAAAAGAGGAAAACACATTAATAAAAAACAAAAAGCAAAAACATATAGACCGAACAACAATAAAAAATAATGAAAGGTAGAGAAAGAGAGATAACAGAGAGAGAGAGAGAGAGAGAGAGAGAGAGAGAGAGAGAGAGAGAGAGAGAGAGAGAGAGAGAGAGAGAGAGAGAGAGAGAGAGAGAGAGAGAGAGAGAGAGAGAAAATACACAAACAGACAGACAGACAGACAGATAATAGTGAGAGAGCGGCAGATGGTCAGAGAGAGAGAGAGAGAGAGAGAGAGAGAGAGAGAGAGAGAGAGAGTAGAAAGAACAGATGATAAAAAGTGAGAAAGAGAAGAGTGGGGAGAGAAAAGAAGAAGAAGAGAAAGAGACAGACGAAGAAAAAGAGGGGAAGAGAGAAGAGAGAAGAAGAGAAGAGAAAAGTAAAGAAAACAAGAGAAGGGAAGGATTATATAGAGATAATAAGATAGATACTGAAAGACAATTATGGAGATAAAAATAAAGATAGATAGATAAAATATAGATAGATAGTTAGATAAAAATAAAATTTGGTAGATATAGAGACAGGGATGAATACAGATATAAGAACAAATAGATACATAGCTACATAGAGGCAGAGAGGGAAAAAAAAGAAAGGTAGAAAAAGCAATAAAAAAAGAGAAAGCGAGGACGTCTGAAGGATTAGGAAGTTACTAATGATTTTTCACTTGTGTTAATTTCGGATTAAACGGATTTTGAGATGATTCCACGGCTCGTTAATCCCTAAAGGAAAAAAAAAAATAATCCACAGTGGCTGATTGGGACTAAAAAAAAAGATAAATACACGATAAAAAGATAAAGGAAAAAATAGAAAATAAATAATAATAAGGTGGAAATTGGAATACACGATAAAAAGATAAAGGAAAAAAATAGAAAATAAATAATAATAAGATGAAAATTGGAAATAAGAATATATAAATTGATCTAAAATATTCTAACAGGTTAAAAGGAAAGCAAAAAAGGGGAAAAGGGAGAAAGCAAAGTGAAGAAAGAGAGAAAGAAAGAAAGATAAAGAAAGGAAAATGAGATGATATATAATGACATCTTGAGAAGATTTGGTGGAATTAAATAGATGGAAAAAGAGAAAAAGAGAAGATAAATGAGAGAGAGAAAGAGAGAGAGAGAGAGAGAGAGAGAGAGAGAGAGAGAGTGAGAGAGTGAGAGAGTGAGAGAGATAGAGAGATAGATAGATAGATAGATAGATAGATAGATAGATAGAGAGAGAGAGAGAGATAGAGACATACTGAGCGTCATAGAGGACATCGGAAGACAGACATCCCATTGTTCCAACATCCTCTCTTCTTAGAAAAAAAAAAAATCCATTTTCAATTATCATTTGCCTTTTTTTCTGTTTCTTTTTTTATCTTGCTTATTTTTTTCTTCTTCTTTTCGTTCCAAAGTCATTAAGTAACTTCTGAATGGATTTTTTTTTTTGTAAATTCTTCGTAGCTTTGGGAAGAGGGGGGAAGGGAGGAAGAAGGGAAGAGGAGGAAATGAGTGAAGGGGAGATATAATTATGGGGGGGGGGGGGAGAAAGAAGGAGGAAGAAGAAGGAGGGAAAGAGGGAAGGAGGGAAATGTCATTACTAGGAGGGGGGGGAGGGAAGAAGGAAGAAGGAGGAAGAAAGGGGAGGAGTGAAAGAAGGAAGGAGGGGGATAGGGAATGGGGAAGAAAGGGGGAAGAAAGAAAGGAGAAAAGGAGGAATGGGGAAAAAGGAAAATATAATCACAAGAACTATAATCACTAGCAATTACAATATTCTCGTTGCTGGATAATGAATGGATGTAATAAATATAATAACAATAATATCAGTATCAAGTAATGTAACAAAAACAACAGTAATGTTAATGATATAATGAACTAATAATATCAACAAAATAATGATAATGATAATGTCAATATTATAATAATATCAGTAATGTCAATGATATAATGGTTCTAGAATATCAATAATATAATGATACTGATAATGATACTAATAATGTCAATGATATAATGATACAATTTCTATTACAACAACTACAACGATTAAAACAGCAAAAAAAGAAAAGAAAAGATAATACTAATGATAACTGTGATGATGATAATGATAAGAGTGAAAAGAGCAATGATGTAAAAAAATCCTATTTATTATCACGAATGCATTCTCTCTCTCTCTCTCTCTCTCTCTCTCTCTCTCTCTCTCTCTCTCTTTCGCTCTCTCTCTCTCTCTCTCTCTCTATATATATATATATATATATATAAATATATATATATATATATATATATATATATATATATATATATATATATATATATGTATATATATATATATATTTTATACGATTAACTGATTTTGTGTGATTTTGTTTAAATGATTTCTCTCTGTGCTCTTTGAAAAAAATTGTTTTGAAATTCTCCAAAAGGCTTCCTTTTTTTCGTTTTCGTTATATGTTTTTTTTTTCGTTTTCGTTATATGTTTCTGTTATTCTCAATCTCTCTCTCCTTTTTTTAACAACTCTGAGTTTTGAATTTCTATTTTTTCTAATCTATATTTTCGTTTTTTTTTGCTTTTTTTTGCTATATTGTTTCATCTTTAAGTTAAGTTATATTCGAAAATTTAAACAGAACTGTAGCTAGATTGTTTTTATAAAGCAATACGTGGTCATAATTCTTCAACCAAGGACAGGCATGAAGGGAAAATAACTATGAAATATCTGTATCACTAAATATCCTTTGATTATGTATATAGAATTCCTTTTAATCATTTTTCTTTTTTTTTTTCTTTTTTTTAGGTGGGCAAAGAAGGGGCAAACATACTCTACCTCATTCATATAAAACTAAAGTGTTCAGATATTTGTGATATGAACTTCAAACGATCAAATTGTTAATGACACTTTTATTGTTTATGATAAGAATTCCTGCCAATAAAAATTAAATCTTACAACGACTCTCCACTGCAAACATCACAATAAGAATTTCCAGAACTGCAATAGCAATAAAGAAAATATTTCACATTTTTCGTAACGTACCTGTACTTTTGAATAAGAACAGTGGCCAAATCAACGTCCGAGAGTAAAGGCAAAAAGGACCTCAATGTCAACTTATCATAAGGGTTGAAATGCCGTGCTGATGCCCATTCTTTATTCGAACATGTAAGGTTAAAAAGGAACATTATGTTTTCGGACTGTGTTAATACTATTAGTTAGTCGTTCTGTGTGTGCATATTTCCATTACACAGCTTGTAAAAATGGTTCATAGTCTATGTGTTTCGTCAAACATCAATGAATCTGTATTCTTTTACCATTTGGGTATAAGCGTACATGTTTAATTCACAACCCATTGAATCATGAATACATTTCCACGCTCGGACACACGTAGGGGGGGTGAGGGAAAGGTACATGATAAAACCTTACAAAACCATCAACGAGCAAGACAAATGACTCTGAATCTATCCGTCCTTGCGTTATGGATCCTAGTAAATTCTACCAGCCTCGAGATCGAATTTCAGCCATATATTTCAAGTCGTCTCGAGGGATTAGAGATTGGCTTCCCCCCTCCCCCCCTCCCCCCCCTTTTGGTTCTCCTGGTCTCTCCTAACTTGCCACGATGTACGATGATTGACGTAATATACTCTTGTTTATAGGCTTTTATTGCTATAGGAAAATGGTTGGCGAGGGGGAATTCGTAACTTTCTTCCCTAACTCTTGAACAATTCAGATTTTATCAGGAACGAAAAAAAAAAAAAGCAGAAGAAGAAGAAGAAGAAGAAAAAGAAGAAAAAAGAAAAACGACTGAAAGTTTTGGATTGGCAAGATCGCGGAAATTCTTAAAGGGAACATATATTCTTGCAGATAACCTGATACGATATTTCCTCGGCTATGAGCAATCAGCTGGTTCCATTTTACCTTCACCCCCCCCCCCTTATGCCAATCACTCTTTCTCCTCACTCGTTTCTTACGGTACATGAACTCATATAGCTGTACCGTGAACTCATATACATGTATGTGGACACACACAACGTTATACACATCCACATGCTTATACGTAAATACCACGCACACACATAGTA